TAATAAATTCTAGCAGTAAATGACAACAAATGACAGCATTTATTGTCTGGAATTTGCCAGGTATCCTAAGCATTGTTTTTTTATTTAATTAATTCTGTTAGAGTTCATCTCCAGATGAGTTAAATGTCTTAGATATTAATGTTTTTTTATTAGTCAGTCAGTTTGCTATTATAAGTTAATCGATTTCTGTTCAGTTTTCTTTGCTGCTCATCAGTCTTGCAGAGTGATGCCTACTATGTTTTTCTTTCATGCCCTCAGATGAATTATGAAACTGTCTTTAGACAAATAAAACATACTTGTCCTCATCAAGGAAAATGTAAGTTTGGCTCTGTGATGAATGTCTTGTGATCTGATGAGTGCGCTCAGAAAGTATGTCTGGGTTAACCAGCATGCACTAGTTTTAGTGATGCAGGATTCAGTATGTGTTGGTATTGGCATCCTATAATTAACTGTTGCAATCACAAACCACAATTTTTGGAATTGCTTTTAAAAACACATACAGTATTTATATGCCTGCAATTTTAATTTAAGAATAAAATATGCTCCATGTAATTTAAAATTTAGCTGTTGAAAGTCATACAGACTATTTGTGAATTGAAATCTGCAAAACATCTCAGTTCTCTGGAGATTATGGTCGCTGAACCACTGGAGTTTTGTTTGCTATTAGAACTGCATTGACCAGTCATGAGGACATTTTATGTCTTTTATTACAAACTATAAATCTGTAGATTTGAAAGCAGAGTATTTCTGTCTAACTGCTTGTAATTATTCCCCCAAGAGTTTAAATGAACTTGTTAAGCTGTGCTTTTTAGATTATTTTAAGAGAGACCATATACTCAGGGAAGAGTTGATAATTTAAAAAGATCTTTTCAAGGCCCACTGGGCTTAACCAAGTTATAACTATTGTTTGGGTAAAAACTGCAGTTCTAGCTTTTTCCATTTCTTTTTCTAGTCTTAAAGTTAGAATCTGAATTTTGTTTCTGAGATTTTGTTTTAAATAATACTATAATTAGTCAGCAATTATATAAAGTTTACATACTGTGTGGCAAGACGCTGCAGAACATTTTAAAACTAGATTAGAATATCTCCTGGCATAGATTAAATATTCTTCACTGTGTGAATGAATATGGTGAATATTGTCTAATGTGTGATATGCTACCTCACCAATGTTCAATAAATAACACATCTAACTTAATTTTTTTTTTAAACTGAGCACAATGATACTTTGTGTTCATAGTACTTCAGAGTACTTTTTATCACATAGCTCCTCAGAAATGAACTTACTGAGGCTGCCAATTTTTAACCAAGTCTAGAAGGAAATATATCTGATGCCAGTAAGGAATTAACTGAAAACGTAACATTAATATCTATGCTATCCATAAATATATTTGCTGGAATGGTATGCATAATTAAAATGCTTAATTCTAAAGTATGTATAAATTATTCTTTTTAAACAATTATAGTTGAGGGAAATACCATTATGAAGGCATCATTCAGCCTATTTTATCAGCCACTAAGAGAATTGTGGTAGAAAGGGTAAATGATTATTCATCAGTCGGAGCTAAACATGAATTCCATGTAAACTAAAAGCACCATATTACTAGCATTGCTGTTTGGCTAGACCTTTTAAGTACTATTTCTTGTCATGGTAAAGTTTAAGTAGAAAATTGCAAAAGAAATACTCCTACTCACGTTCTCAGATCTGATTTTAATTAGTCTCATCTCTTGGCAGTGTTTGCATAGATAATAGAATACAATAGAATTTAAAGTGAATCATCTTATCATAGCTTCTCAAATATTTAGATCTTCCGCTTATTTGTCAAGAACCAAGGAAGTGATTATAGAGGAGAGCCTAAACTGGTAAATCTTTCTCTCTCTTTCATGCTGTAATTGTTATGTCTTTTCTCTACTAAAATAGTACTAAAGGAGTAGAGAACTGAAGAAAATAACCTCTCACTCTGTGTGTGTATATATCTGTCTATATATACAAAAAAATACGTAAGAACGTTGAACTACTAAATGAATTGAAATTTTGAAGAAAACTATAAAGATCTAGAAATAAGTGACAAATGGGGCTAAGTGTAGCATGATAGGTCATGCTTGACTAGCCAGATATATTTTAATATATAACTAATTTTCTAGCCCAAGGAAATGTAGATTCATTGATGCAGACTTTTAGATCTTAAGGCTTTTGTTGTCGCTTACACTCCCAAAAAATTGGAAAAGATGAGTAGACAAGAGGCATGCTTAACGTGTAAATTACTGGGCGAAAAGGCAGTGAGCCTAGTGGGCTTCTTAAAGATGTTTCATGTGACTCATGAGACTTCAGCTTTTCTTGTCGTGATGACAGTATAAAAAGAAAGTAGAAAGCTCTGATGAAATTTGCTGATAGTGCATTGCTAGCAGACACATGAGGAAGACTGGGATATGTTGTAGTCGTGATAAAGGCAGATTTGATTTTAGGAGGTATTTATTTAAAAACATTAATGACACTGGATAAGGCACTAGTACTAGGAGTACTAGGCATGGTTTGTATTGTGGCAGTAATAAACTGAGGTGTGAACAGATGCACAGAAGGGTTGTGAAGTTGACCAAAGGAATGGTGTACCTAACAACACAGAGGCTGCAATGTGGAGTTGACTTGGTTAACACGATAAAGTTATTTAAACTGAAATACCGTTTTGACTTTAAAAAACTAAATTGGCAACTAATGCTTCCAGGATGGAAATTGGAATGCTTATAGTAGTCACAGGTGTGAAGTTCAGAGAAGAAAAATGTACCTGGGCTTAAAGCGGAGCTTGGTCAGTTTATGAAAGGCGTTACATAAAGTGATTCCCAGCAGTAGAAGAGTGTTGCTTCTAGTCATATTTTCCAAGATCCTGTGTTCCAAGGTTATTTATTTGCCCATATAGTTCAAGATCTTACTGAATTTCAGCTTTATATCATTTCATTAACTGGAATATTAGGTGCTGAGAATACTATAAATGGAACATTTTTATGTGAAGCTTTAAAATCCATGATACTTGATAGATGAATGTCTGAAAGAGAGTATCTGTATGTTAACACAGTTAATCAAGAACTGTAAAGGCATGTACCAGGCCCTTGAGGGTCTTCCATGCTAATGATTTGAATTGTTTTTCAGTTCTAGCTGGACCTAACTCTCTTGCAAAGTGATTTTTTTCCAACATGTAAAGCACATACATTGAAAATTAGCAAAAAAAAAATGGAGGTTGAGTGCCGTTCAAAAATGATATTTTCTTTTTAGCTTGTTCATGTAGATTTGTGTATGTAGGATACGCTTGGAAAACAGTCTGGCAGCCTTCTGCACTTCTTAGTGGTACCTTCTGTTGTCTAATATGGTACCCAGATGCATGTAGAAAGAAGAGCAAATGGAAGAAGCTAATTGGTTTACCTGGCTCACCTCCAAGACATATGTCTCATATTAATCAGTATCTTTTTCATAAATAAAGTATACTTTAAAATTATTGTGTTGTTTTTGGATAACCGGAGATGTCAGATATCCTGAAGACTTAGGAAAAAGGAGGTTACCATTTCCCTCATGTCCTTCACACATAACGTCATGAAGGCATTTGTCATGCCTCTGTGTGTAGACTGTTCATAGCTAAGCAGGATGCTTTGTGGGCCGAACTTCAGGCATCTCAAGGCTAGGCTTGGCTGAGTGTTGGAATTAAATACCTGAATTCTATATAGGTCAAATTTTAGGAACTGAAATAGAAAATTTGATTCTTGTCCATAATGAATAACAAGAAGCAATTGCAAGGTGAGTTGTTTAGCTTTTTAAAAATAAGCAAAAGGACTACAAAAATTTGGTGAAAGATATGCCATGTTCTTAGTGGGATGTTTAGTGTTGGAAAAACATACTCATATAATTAATTTTATTACTGCACGTCTACTGCCTATAAAAAGCTTGTCTTAAAATGAAGAGAGGGCTATAAAGGCTATAAAGTAAAACTGGCAGATATTTGAAACCAGGATGTTTTAATCTGTGTTTAATTGTGTGCATTTCACATTTGGGAAAAAGTTAAATAATTGCTTCTTTTTTTAAGAAAGTTTCAGGGTTTTTTGCAACTTTCATTATACAGATAATCCTATTATTTCAGTATTATGACTACCATGTTCACTAAAAGCTGCATATGAATTGCAGATGCACGGTATTTTTATGCTAGCAAACATCATACAGCTTGTTCTAAAAAGTGAGGAGGTGGCTGTGTGTACTACTCTTTACAACAATACTCTGAGCTGCACTGTTGTTACATCAACGGTTCTTTAATGCCTTTCTTTAGATCCTGTTTTTCAAAAATGAGAACATCTGCTTAATACACCACCTTATAATGTTACCTTGGCAGTGATACATCATTGTGTTTTGGGAATAATAATCAGTTCTAAGCTGCCCTGTTGATGGTTAACAGTGAAAGAGGAGCTGGGAGTGCCAGACAAAATGAGCATTCGCACAGACAAACTGCATTTTTCAGAATGAATAATACTTCTATTATTTTAATGTAGAAAATGTTTATAGAACATGTATAAAAATGCAACACTGTTTCCCAGTATTGCTGGTTTATTTTAAACCAGAGCACATAAACAATTATTCTGCATTGAAGTGTGACCGCATTCTATTTGGTGATGTGTTCTTTGGAAATTTAAGTGTCTTTTACTAGGAGAAGAGGGTAGACAGAAAATGGATTTTGTGCAATTTACAAATAAAAACAATCTGTTAGTAAATGTATAAATATATTCCCTTTGTTTTACAAAACAACGGCAATTTAAAATCCTCTTTCAGTGGGGTGTCCTAAAATTGAAAGAAAACAAAAGATTTACTGTGGTTAGAGGGCGTTCAGTTAATTGGAATTCACACTCCTGCAATATTCGGCCTACTAAAGTGGGATGGTAGGATTAATAATCAGTAGGTGAAATACACTTTTCCTCAACAAGCGGAAGAGCAAGAATGATTAATTAATGGTGTTTCATTTCATCCCAAGGTGTACAGAAACAAGAGGTGGTGTGTAAAAGGCTGGATGACAACTCCATTGTACAAAACAATTACTGTGATCCTGACAGTAAGCCTCCAGAAAACCAAAGAGCCTGCAACACTGAGCCTTGCCCACCTGAGTAAGTCAATAATCACTAAGATGGACATGGGTTTTGCATAGGTAGAAGAGTCTTTGTAATCTATAATAAATCCTGTTGATCAAATGTATATGAAATTCTGACCTAGTATCAGGGTTCTGTGTTATCAAATGGGATATTTAGCTTTGGGGTTTGGTGATGGCTTCGTGTTCCTCTGGAAAATACGTACTTTGACCTAGAGGAGGCCCAACTTGACTGAGGAACAGTGGTGTTTAAACTACACAAAGCAACTCAGACTTTGTAAGTAAAAAGATACTAGCAAAGCAGTTTCTTAGGGTGTAAGTGTCAGATGTGATGAATGGTGCTCAGAGTATAGCTGGGGACTGTTCTTCAGGCAACAATGACAGAAGAATCTTGAGGTGAGACTAACTTTGCTGTAGATATTATATTACATACTAAATGTTTGCTGTATTTTTGAGTATAATTATTATGTTAAAATTTGGGTTGAATTGTTCACATGAGAAATGGCAAATATAGAAACTGCTTAGTAGACCAAGCCATTTACTGATAATAGTTTTGTGAAACAACTTTCTCTCCAGGATACTCAGTGTTGTACAGTAACGCTGTGTGCCTTCAGGATTAGGTGCCTACTTGGTTATGTCTGTTCAGTTTTATTTCTAAAGATAGCTGTATGCTATATATTGAGAAGATAATTAAAAACACAGCTGTTCATTTGTTAAAAAATGAAATTTGGCAAGGATCTGTAGCATAGCTTAATCTTACTACAAAAGCTGTCTAGAAACAGTTGCGATATTTTTCACTAGAAAATAATTTCAGCATATGCACAACAGCTCCTTGTGTTTTGAGACAAATAAAACTTGTGGAAAAAATGGAAGAGATACAATAGTTAATTGATTCACAAGCTCTGGTTAGTTTACGTTTGGTGATAATCTATAGCTGTATTCTAATTAAGTATGAAAATCATTAAGGACAATTAATTGTAGATACTGCATAATAAAGAAATGCTATGGTCGTTTTTAAATGCCACTTAGAAACTGTAAAGTTGTAGCCTGAAGGACCCTGGGAGGAACGAGACAAGGCTATAATCCATTAAAATCCCAACAGGTCTTTATGAAGCCAGTTTCTTCCTAGAGTATCAACTGCTTCCCTGGTGTGGTGACTGGTTGCAGGATGGCAGAACAGTGTCTTCTACCCTTACTCTCCCTGTGTCGTGTACTGGCTATCTCTGCAGACCCTCCCCTGCTACCAAAACCCTACCACATAAACACAGCACCCTACCATACTCATAAACTGAAGTGGTTACTCTGCTCTCACCTTGAGTGTGTTTGAATGTGAATGTACTGTCTCATAAACAGATCTAAAGTAGGTCTACTCATTGTCCCCACACTTGATGTGTAAATATATGTTTACCCTGCAAGGATATGCACTTGAATTCTGTTTGCATAACACTAGCATGGCTACAAGTGCACTAACTAAACTCTCACACCATGTACCTGGGAGTAGAACTTGGGAAGTGGTCACTTTTGGTCAGTTCCTTTTTACCGAACACAACCCTGTCCCTTCCTTTATGTGGCTTAATATTAACAACACTTCAAAAAGTAGTGTTAACATAGTTATTTCAAACTAATTAATTTTTATTTTTTGCATTGACATTATTTAAAACACAAAAACAAGAAAAAAATCTCCAACCCACAGAGTGATACACTTCTGGGTTCTTCGTGCAGTACAGCAGGGACATTGATGAACATGGTGAAACTCAAGTAATTGAGATTCAAAAAGTGGATAGTGTATGCTAATCAGCATCTGCTTGAATATGTCAGAGCAGTTCTGCCCATATCTGCCTCCGTTCTGATATGCCCCACAGGGTGGATACAAAGTGCCAAACTCCTAAGGAAGGGTTCTTGATTCTGTAAATAGTGAGAGGAAGGCTGTTAAAATAACACATAGTTACCCGAAGAAGTTTGACCCTTTTGGCTGGAAGATATATCACCCAGTAAGACTTACTCTTTACATCAAGTGGCCAAGTATTTCCTGTTTTAATTAACATAATTCCACTTTCCTTGTGGTGTATACCAAAAGTTATGAAAATGTTACTCTTTCTAACTGGATGCCAGTCATATTACACTTGGATGTCTCTGAGCAGCAGCAAAGACTATGTGTGGTCACAGTATTTTGCTTGTTATTACAATAAGTAACTCTCAAAGTTCCAGATTTTAGTAAATGATACAGGTAACTCTCATAGTTCTAAGAATTATATATAGTACTGTCTTGTCATGCAGTATAAACGTAAAAAGTACCTGAGAATGCACTTGAGCAAATGATGTGCCAACTAAAAATTAACACTTCAGCCTCTCCAAAGCTCTGAAGAGCTCCTAATTCTCCCTACTGTGGTAAAAGCATAAGTTCGTGGTGAAGAAACACAAATTAATTCCCTCTTGCTGGGAAATTGATGACAGAATATGGATAGAGGGACCTTGACAGGCTGGAGAGATGGGCCTGTGAGAACCTAATGACGTTCAACAAGGCCAAGTGCAAGGTCCTGCACGTGGGTCGGGGCAATCCCAAGCACAAGTACAGGCTGGGCGGAGAATGGATTGAGAGCAGCACTGAGGAAAAGGACTTGGGAGTGCTGGTGGATGAGAAGCTCGACATGAGGCGGCAATGTGCACTTGCAGCCCAGAAAGCCAACCGTATCCTGGGCTGCATCCAAAGAAGTGTGGCCAGCAGGTTGAGGGAGGTAATTCTGCCGCTCTACTCTGCTCTCGTGAGACCCCACCCGGAATACTGCATTCAGCTCTGGAGTCCCCAACACAAGAAGGACATGGAGCTGCTGGAGTGAGTCCAGAGGAGGGCCGTGAAGATGATCCGAGGGCTGCCTGTGAAGACAGGCTGAGAAAGTTGGGGCCGTTTAGCCTGGAGAAGAGAAGGCTTCAGGGTGATCTTATCACAGCCTTTCAGTACTTAAAGGGGGCCTACAGGAAAGCTGGAAAGGGACTTTTTACAAGGGTATGTAGTGATAGGACAAGGGGCAATGGCTTTAAACTGAAAGATGGGATATTTAGATTAGATATAAGGAAGAAATTTTTTACATTGAGAGTGGTGAGGCACTGGAACAGGTTTCCCAGAGA